AAAAGCTGAAAAACTGGAAAAAGTAAAAAACAAATATTATTATTATTTTTCAAAGTAAATTCTGAGAAAACAGCAAAAACCCTCAAAAATAGTTTTTATTAGGAATTTTTCCGAAGTTTAATTTCTAGATTTCTCTTTTTTGTTTTTTATACACAGAACGTGTAATTTAACAAAATCCACTGCATAGATGTGTGAAAGAAGTTCAAGGACACAATATTTTCAACATTTCTGCTGTATTATGCCACTGCAATCAAAATAGAATTTATATAAATTCATTAGGGATAAAAGATACAGCAGGAGTATTAACTTGTGGTCACCATAGAAACCATTCAACAATTTACATTTTAGAGATTAAAAAAAGTGCCTTATCTTGTGATTATGCAGATGATTACAATGATCTGATAAGACCTCTATCAGTAAGTTGTCCTTGTTTGTCATGCAGGTGTTTATCCCCACAGTCTTTTATACGTACCATGACACATGGGCTCCTGAGTCTTATTTTAGACTACTTTATAAATACACCATCAATGAGCTACAGCACCAACTGTGAGAGAACTCAGATCCAACTGCGTTTAGGTCAAGTCTAAGCCACTAAAACATGATGCAACCTAACACCGTTACTTCATGTCAAATTCACTTAATTTCTATATCGCCACTTCATAAGACATGTTAACAGAAAACATTCAACCAGATCTTACAGCCAGATTGGTTCAAAGTTTTCTCCATCCATCCATCTTCTTCCGCTTATCCGGGGTCGGGTCGCAGGGGTAGCAGCTTCAGTAGGGAGGCCCAGATATCCCTCTGCCTAGCCACTTCGGCCATCTCCTCCGGGGTGAACCCCAAGGCGCTCCCAGGCCAGCCAAGAAACATAGCCTCTAGCATGAAACAGCTGGAAAACCAGCTGATTGCATCGACTCATTGCCTCGAAGGCAATCCCTCACACCAAGCTTGTAGTGACAGTGGACAGGAAAACTCCTTTTGAACAAGAAGAAACCCCCAGCAGAACCAGGCTCAGTGTGAGCGGCCATCTGCCGAGGCCGACTGGGGTTTGAAGAGACAGAAGCAGACATACAGAAAGAAGCAGAGATACAAAAGGTAACTGTCAACCAGCTCCAAAGGTGGCCCTGGCTGGGAAACACACAGCCAGGCAGACAAGCTTCAAGCCTGCTCCCATTTCAGAGGATAAAAGAGAACAAATACAGTCAGTCACAGTCAGAGAAACAGGACTACACTGAAAAACAGGCCAAGCTTCAGCATGGTGTTGATAGCTGCAGCAACGCTGATATTTCTCACTAGGATGGATTCACAGCCAAACAGGAACAGACCAGATGATGAGAAAAAGCAGGGAGATCATAGAGTTAGAGGTTTAACTAACAAATACAGCAGAATGGGAGAATAGAGATAGAAGGAAGCTGAATGATGAAAAATGGTCCCTATGTCCTCCAGCAGTCTAAGCCTATAACAGCATTACTATAGAGATAGCTCAGCATAGCCTGAGCCACTCTAACTATAAGCTTTATCAAAAAGGAAAGTTTTAAGTCTGTCCTTAAAAGTAGACTGCGTGTCTGCCTCACGGACTAAAACTGGTAGTTGGTTCCATAGGAGAGTGAAACGCTTAGGGTTGCATTTAAGGAAGGAGAAGACAGTCAAAAACGCACAGCCACACTGATAATGGGAATTCCACAGTGTTGTCCTTTAGTAAAACATACTCTTCACCAACCTTACTAAGCTCGGTTGAATGGCTGCTATATTCTCACACATAACAAATGAGCAGAGTCCAAACAACCCGTAACATACAAAGAAAATAGGTACCGGTAATTAATATGTCCGTCTGAGTACATGTATCTCTCTGCACCCGGTGTCCCACGCTCTCTACAGAGAAGCAGTGATGAGTAGCAATACCATAGTATCTTAAAGTGACAGTACACAATTACGACTGTTAATTCAATTCAGTTTATTTATATAGCGCCAAATTCACAACACAAGTCATTTCAAGGCACTTTAGATGTTACAAGAGGAGTGTGATAACTAAAGGATCTGCCACCCATTCTACTTTTAGAAATTCTAGAAATTAAATCACCCTAATGCTGTTCCCTTAATTCCTACAGAATATTCAAGTCTTTCTAAAAGGATATTATAATTGATTGGATGAAAGCAGCCCTGAGATCTAACAGGGCAAGTATGTATACAACTCTATAGAAACTCACCAACAAGTTCATTATTGTGTAAGTGGTCACACATTTGTTTAGCAACTTTTTTTTTTTATTTAGATGAGAAAGGATTGACAAAATCATCTGGGTCAAGAAACATTTTTTAAGAAAACGCTAAATTAAAGCTGCCATAAAAGCCTGGGGAACATACCCCTGTAACAGGGATAGGTTAATCACATCTTAATAGGAGGTGGGAAATTGGAGGGAATACTCCCTTAAATAACCTGGTTGGAACTGGATCTACTGACAAGTTGAAGGTTTAGATGAATACAATAGTTTTGCTAACTCTGAAAGTTGAACTGGATCAAAGCAGCTTAAGCCAGGTTCTTATTCTATAGTTACCTCAGATCCTGCCTCTCCTTTGAGAGGTAAACCAGTCATAGTTATAGGAAGGCTAATGATCTTAGTTTTAATGAAATCAATCTTATTTATGAAGAATTCCATAAAATCATTACTGCTAAGAGCAGAGGGAATTGATGGTTCAACAGAGCTATGGCTCTGGGAGAGTTTGGAGTTTATTAAACTGTGGGATTATTCTTATTCTCCTCTATTAATGAAGAGAAATATGCTGCTCTAGTTTTATATCTTTTACAGCATTAAACAGTTTTTCCAGACAAGAAAAGATTCCTGTAGATATATAGAGTGCCAATTCCTCTCTAGTTTACTAGCAGCTCAATGTGAATAGCTCTGTATTAAACCAAGGTCCAGGCTTTCTACTTTTAGTTTTTCTTTTACAAAGGTGGCTACATTATCTAAGGCAGTACGCAGAAAACTAGCAACCCCAACAACAAAATCATCAACCTGTGATGAATATCTTATCTTTTGCCCTCTGCAGTATTGTTCAGTGATATAGAGGAGAGAGAAAGTGGAACAGATTATGTAAAATTCATAACTGCATAACCTGATACTATTGTGCTAAAGTAAGACCTTCTGTTTTGGGGGGGAGAACTCTGTTAAAGTAAATGTGAAGGTTACTAAAATGTTCTCAGATAGGACAGGGCTTTGAAGAAATAATGTTACTCCTTTACATTCAATGCAATATGTCAGCAAAAGGTCCAAAGTATGAAGATGATTAGCTTAAATTAATGTCATCGCCTTCTTAAAATGTGTCAGCAGCTATATCTTTCCTTAGTTCTTTTTTTCCTTTCTAAAGCACCTTTTAAGAAAAATTCTACATTTGGGAATTTGAGAGTGAAAAACTGTATAACCTTGAATATGCTTTCTTCACAAGACTATTTTCAACCAAAATGTTTGTTTTTCTATCTTACAGTTTCTCACTAAGGACAAAAAGCCTACTCTGGAACAAAAACTTGAAAAACAAAGCCACTCGTTTAAGTGCGAGAAAAGGTGATATCATCATGGATATCCTCGGTGGGGCACCTCGTGTTTTGGGCTATCCACGCCCCGTTGTGGCACAGTGCGGAACAGATGTGACTCTCAGATGCCAAATTGGTGGAGATCCACCTCCAGATGTTATTTGGGAGCACAAAAATTTTCAAATTATCTCTGAGGGACGATACAAGATATCAGAGGAGGGAAAAACTTACTTATTAAACATTTCTAGAGTTACTCAAGAAGATGCTGGTCAATATATTTGCAAGGCAAGAAACAGCATTGGGGAAACCTACGCAGCAGCATCACTCAAAGTGGAAGGAGAGCTTCTTGAAAATAATAGGGAAATTATACAATTAAAGGAAAATGGTGTAAATCAATGTGGAGACTTTGGGGAAAACCTAAATGGGTACATGTTAGAAAATGGTGCAAAAGATAGGGAAATGAATGGAGAGCACAAGTGGAAGGGTCAAGCAAACGAAGAACTAAAGGAGTTTGATTTACCATTAAATGAGAAGCCCAGGTTTCTCATTAAGCCTCTGTCCCTACGTGTGGATTGTGGAGAGGATGCCACCTTTTCCTGCAAAATCTGGGGAACGCCTTCGCCTGAGGTTACTTGGGAGAAAGACGGGAAGAAGCTCAATGACATCTTTGAGAGCTCCCACTTTAATATGGGAAGTGAAGATGGAGGCTGGTTTCAGCTCAAGTTGTATAGGACACGCATGCCAGACAAAGGGGTCTACACCTGCAGGGCTACAAACTGCCATGGTGAGGCCTTGGCAGGAGCTGTTCTTCTTGTCGAGCCAATTCCACAGCGAGAAGAGAGTAAGATTTCTTCAAACAGTCACATCAGCAGTCAGAGGTCCCCCAAGCACAAAAGCGGACGGTTCAGTTTGTCAAAGCTTGCAGAGGAACCGCCCATCAACATATCCGAAGTCAAAAAGTTTGTAGTGGCAGAAGGGAAGCATGCCAAGTTTCGCTGCTTTGTGACGGGCAAGCCCAAACCCGAGATCATCTGGAAGAAAGATAGGGTTCCCTTAGAACCCGACAGGCGTCATTTGGTATTTGAGGACCGTGAAGGTTTCTACACGCTGAAGGTTCTCTACTGTAAAATGCAGGATACAGGGCTGTATGTATGTGCTGCATCAAATGCTCTGGGAAACACCCTGAGTGCTGTACACCTCACTGTGAAAGGTAAGAAAACATCTTTTTTAATCATGTGTTGACATATATTCTAGGATTTAAATAGGGAAGATGCAATGCATCATGTCATTAAATCTTAGAGACAGTCAAAAAAGAAACACAACAATGCCATATACAATGGGTGCTGTTTCCATCATTAATTTAATGGATTTAAGATATAAGGTCTTGAAAGATCCTAAACCAGGCAGGTAAGTGTAGTCCAGGGATCTTCAAATCTCATCCTGGAGGTACAGTGTCCAGCAAAATTTAGATGTGTCTTTACAACAATACCTAATTCAAATGGCTGTATTATCTACTGTGTATGTAGTTATGTTCTCTCGAGTCCTGCTAATCACATTATTTTATGACTTAGGTGTGTTGATGCAGAGATACACCTAAAAGGTGCAAGACATTGGACTCCCAGGACTGTAACTGAACAACCCTGGTCTACACAATCCAAAACATATGCAAAGGAATCATTTGAATGATGTCAAAGATATATTACAGGCATATTGGCCAGACAAGAAAGATATCCAGAAAAAAGAAAAACATAAACAAATCATGGACAAAAGTATGCACAAGAGAAACACTTGTTTCTTTGTCATGGGGGCAGCAGTCTCAGTAGTGACTCTCAGACTTTCCTCTCCATAGACTATCCAAGTGACATAGCCTTCCAAGCATGCCCTGGGCTGTCCTCGGAGTTGGAGGCTTCCAAGGGGCAATCAAAACATATATCGGAGCCACTTCTTGATGTGGAGGAGAAACAGCTCTGCTCTGGGCCTGTCCTGGCCACACTGCTAAACCTATCTCCAAAGAAAGTTTCCAGACACCCTGTGGAAAAGCTTGTTTTAGTCACTTATAACCGCAATCTTATTCTTTCGGGCATTAGCCTACCTAGTTTTCAAGACCATAGGTGGGGCAGGAACATAGACCAACCGGTAAATAGAGAGCTTTGTCTTTTGGCTAACCTCCCTCTTCATCACAAAAGACTTTTGCAGCGGCTGCCACTATAATAATAAATCCCATATTTAAGCTTGATATCTAAAGCATAAGTCATTGACTTAAGACAGAGGACCTGGGTTTGGATTCTGGTTCCAAGCTGGTTGGGTCAGGAATGGAAACAGGCGTAAAAACTTGGCCAAGTCTATGAGCAAGTTATAATAATCTGCTGTGGCAATCCCTCAGTAAGGGATAAACACATATCATTGTTTAAAGTACATGTTGTGACACGATTGTACTGCCCTAGTGAAAACTAAAATAATGCCAAATGATAAGTGGTAATGGAGCCATATGAAGATATTAGACATCATTTATATGTAGAAAAAAAGCATTTCATTTATGAAATTCTGCTTAAAACTTTCTATCTTCCTCAGGGCCAGCTGTGCGTTTCAGACGCCCATTAAAAGACCTTGAAGTAAAGGAAAGGGATGTTGCCGTGCTGGAGTGTGAGGTACCGGATGAGACAATCCCCGCTGCTTGGTACCTAGAGGACCAGAGGCTAATGCCAAGCAGTAAATATGGAATGGAGCAGAGAGGAACCAGGCGACGACTCACCATCCATGATGTTGGGATGGATGACGATGGGGTTTACATTTGTGAGATGCCAGATGGAGGAAAGACCATTGCTGAGCTAGCAGTTAAAGGTAGATTGTGTGTAGTGGTTTTAAGCTTATTTAAAGCGTATTAAGAAATACATATAAAATGTATAGAATTTACAAAGAAATGCAAATAAAATATTTTCATACGGCAGGCACAATTGTCCGCAAACTACCTCGGAAGATGGAAGTGCTAGAAGGTGAGAACGCTGCGTTCTGTGTCGAGGTTGAGAATGACGACATGGAGATCCACTGGTTCAAAGATGGTTTGAAGCTACACGAGACACACCAGACAATCCTCAAGTCTTTCGGCAAGACTCACATCCTAGTCTTTGTCAACGTGGCCCATCATGACTCGGGGGTTGTTACATTTGTTGCAGGAAGATCTAAAAGCTCATCACGTCTCAAAGTCAAAGGTACAGTTAAGACTTTCAGTCTACTCTTGCAAGAAAATGATAGGGAAATGAAAGGGAAAATCAAGTACATAGTACAAGTTCAAAATCAACTAACTGTTGCTATTCATTTGTCTAAATATTGTGCCATCTATATTGTCTCTAAGTCTTCTGCTAATGCAAAAACTATTATTATACTGCAACTGTTTTTCCTCAGCAACAAGACACTGCCCACCAATCTGCCCTGTGGGTGTCAAAATGAACACAGAAAGACCCAACAGTGCTTATCTTACCTGGTCGCCTGCACCCAACAGTCAGACCACCACACGTTCTATGTTTGTCCTGGAGATGCAAGAGCTTGGTTCTCAGAAGTGGCAGAAATGCTTCACCTCAGAGACTGCCACCTCAGCGGAAATCTCAGGTGACAGCATTCCATGTGAAGGGGACTATCGTTTTCGTGTCTGTTGCATCAATAAGTACGGACGCAGTGGTCACGTAGAGTTCCCCAAAGTGGTCCACCTCGGTGAGCAGAAATCTTAAAAGTAGAATCAAATACTCAAAAGCAGTAGGTTTAATATGTTTAGATTAAAAAAAAAAACATGGTATGGTTGATGCATTTCTTTTTATTTTAGTCCCAGGACCCAAGATACACAAGCCTCTCCAAGGCTGTGAGGTTATGGAGGGTGAGGATGCTCACTTCTCCATTGAACTCTCTGCACCAATGGTTGGCACCTGGTTTCTAAACAGCTCCCAGCTGCAGCATGGTGGAAGATATTCAGTGCAGCAGAATCAAACAAAGCACTCCTTGGTGATCCATGGAACTGGAGCAGCTGACGACACAGCAGAGGTCACATTTATTGCCAATGGAGTGAGGGATTCAGCTATCCTGAAGGTTAAACGTAGGTGGAGAAAAGGTGCAATACTCATCCATGCTGTTGGATCCTTTTTCATGCTTTTTTTTATTTTTTTTGCAGCCGCAGTGTTCAAATTCATCCCTCTGTCTGAGTTGGACAGCTATAAGAGAGTGGAAACCGGGGATGCCATTGTGCTCTACTGTGAGGTTAACCATCCCTTTGCTAAAGTATCCTGGTTCAAAGACAATGAAGAACTCCAGGTGAGCAATGAGCTGAACATCCAATCAGATGGTAATATGAGAAGAATTGTGATCCAGTCTGCTGAAGCATCTCACTCTGGAGTTTATACGTGTCAAACTTCGGGGGACGTGATTAAATTCAATGTGGATGTCGAAGGTTATTTACTTTCTAACAAATATATTTAAGAAAAATACATGACCTTTTCTTCCAGCAGGCTGCAATAACTGATTTATACATCTCATTTAATTCAGGACCTCCAGTAGAGTTCAGTCCAGTGTCAGAGGAAGAGCTTCATAAGAACAGTATGGAGCTGGATCCAGTGGTTCTGCTTTGCCACGTCTCCAGAGATGATGCCGAAGTTTTTTGGTAAGACAATGAAAACTTTGAAAATTCAAATAAAACAATCCCAGCTCCTATTCTGTGTTTTGCATGATGAAATATCTTACAAATGCAATCTAAAAATAATAAGTCTGATTGTTCTTTGGGTACAATACCAATATTCCTAGATGTACTAAATTTAATAGTTTTTTGTGTCCTTTTTGCCAGTTTCTTACTGCATAAAATTGCCTTTTTTCCACCGATATTGAATGCTGCATTATGTTGTAGCAATCTTTTAGCTATTTAGCAAACATACAATGACCACATACCACAACATTAATTGCAAGATGGCTAAAGAACAAATTCAATTTAATAAACATCACAAAGTTCTTATATTGGTTCCATAAAACATGTAGACAAAGCTGAAAGGTTGTGAGCAAGCAAGGCATACATATCAAATTCAAGTTTACCAGTCCTGAGAGGCAGAGTGGACCAGAATTTCATTAGTGTTTCTTGAGAAGCTTTACTTGACTTCTACTATCATATGCTTACAGCCTAATCTGCATCACTTCAAACATGACTCGAAGTTGTTTTTTGTCTTTTCGAAAATAATGGGTCTTTTTGAATAGCAGTAACAAAGACATGCTTAACAATAGACAGGTGTCTTTGTATTACATTTATTCTGCATTATTATATCAACAACAACTGCAGAAAATTTCAGAACAGTTCAGAGCTCTGAGACATTCAACTAAAGTCATCAACATCTCCAAACACCTCAAAATATGCCAAATTATTCCAAATTGTGCTTATTGCTTTTACACAACAATTGTAACCCACTGAAGCATTTTGATGGCCACCAAATATTTTTTAAGTAATTTTTTTCCCTTTTTCTAACTTTCTATTTAATTATCTGACAGTGTGCAATGATCCAGTATTTGACCTGATCGTGGGCTTTTACGAACCTTGATCCAGCAGGGTCAGCATTATTATTATAAATTAGCCATGCCTAGCCCTTGTTTTAAAGGTAATTTCATTGGCTAGAGAGCCCAGCATTGCGTGTGGACCTAACCAATAGCAACCCGGTTTTATGAGCCATAATACTAGGAGAATCATGCGTAAAGAAAGCAGCTGAGAGGGAGCGCTTGTGACACCTCGAGGGCTGTCCCGGGGTCAAATCTCAAAAATAAATTGGCGGGGACAATTTTGTTTTGTAGGCTGAAAGGTGAGGAAAACAAACATACCCAACATTGACCTTAAATGTTTGGAGAATCAAGGGTAAATAGCAAGACGGTTAGCATTAGCTATAAGAATCAAACTTTTCTTATGGTAAGAAAAGTACTTTATGTGGTGATTTTCTCATCATCGTATGTTTTTATTATGAATATACTGCTACTACTCCATCCGTGGAACCTTACAGACAAATGGAATATAAACAACCTAAGATTGGCCTCAGGATCTCTTTAAAAGTAGGATAGAGGAGGTGTATTTTAAAAATCCTGATTTAACATGCTGCAATATCTTTATGAATAGTGCTTTGGTGCTCAAGGTTTCCATAAAATGGTCTTGGCAGTTGAATTGTGGAGAATCTAAGCCTTCTAAAGATGTATGTATATCATGTCTATATTGGTAAAAGTTTAACCTGTCATTTTCAAACGTACTGCTGTGTATAAGTATACAAAACAGAGAGCTGTCATTCCAGTGGAAGTTCGGACGTATCGCATCAGAAGAGTTACAGCCAAAATTTAATTTCCCTACCGGATCAATAAAGTGTTTTGAATTTAACTGGTATAGGTTAAATATGGCGGGAACTTTGTTCCATTACCATCGCAAGAAATGAAATTTTGTAAAAGAAAATGTAAAAAAAAAAATGGAATCCAGAAATGAAATGCTAACAACTTTCTTTATCAAAAAAGGTTTTGTAAGTAAGTCTTTTTTTTTTTTTATTAATAATTGCTGATTGCATTTATTTCACAACATGTTTCACTCACAAGCAACTAGAGCGTCAAAAGCTAGAATTTCTATAGAAGGAAAACTCAGGTTGGCTGACAATCAGATCCAAGCAGACGACTGAATGCAGGACTTTCCAGATGACAATGTCGAAGAGGTTAACAGGAGTCCAGATCCGAAGAGGTAGAGAACGGAAGTCGGGGTTGAAGTCAGGAGGCAGATCCAGGTTTAGCTCACAGGCAGAAACCAGTCAGAAGACAGACCAGGCAAACAGATCAAAAAACAGGAACAGGCAGGCTAAAAGGTCCGGAGGCAGAACTGGTCAGGATCAGGTATCAGAACAAAAAACCGTCCATAAAAGAGAAACTAGAAAAAAATAGAAGAAAATCTGCACCATAAAAAGCACATATTAGGGAAATAATAAAACGAGAGTAAGAGAAAAATAAGTAAATCTGTAGCAGTAAAATCTGAGCAGACAGTAAAGTTAATCGTGAAACCATTTATTACCATTTTTTCCACAATTTCATTTACAAGTCATGCCCTTTGCTTGCAACAGTAACAGAACAAAATTTACTCTGACAAAATCAATTTAAACACACTTGTAGGCAATCATTTCAACAATTGGTTTTGTAATCCAGAACAGTAAGATTTATTTTTTGTTATTTGATTTCTGACTGTGAAAGAAAAATGTGTGTCACTTTTGTAGAATCTCTGTGATAAATAAAATTTCAATTGCTTTTATCAGGTACAAAGATGGCTGCGAGATCCAGGCGAGTGACAACATTACGGTCCAGAAAGAAGGCACCATGAGGAGGCTAATAATCCGCTCTGCAGAAGCGTCAGATGCTGGAAGTTATGTCTGCAAGTCTGGAAGCAACAGCATTGAGTTTATAGTCAATATAAGAGGTATGGCAACCTCTACAGGTTGAGTTAATGTTAAAATATTTCCCCGCCACACAAATAAGACTGGATTAAAAATAGGATTTGTACCAATTTCCTCTACTTCACCCCTAAACCTAGAGCCTACAGTGATGATTGTTGAACCCAAAGACGATATCGTGATGACATACTATGTATCAGAGGAGATTAACTTGCAATGCGAGTTATCTCGGACCAACGGGAAGGTTAATTGGTTTAAGGATGGTGAGGAGGTGCAGGAAAGCGACAACATCCAGCTAAAATCTGAGGGTCCTTACAGGAGGCTGACCATTCCCTGTGGCTCTGCCATGGATAGTGGAGAGTATGTATGTGAAACAGATGGAGACTCTGTCTTCTACCTGATAACTGTTACAGGTAAAGCAGTGACTAATCATAAACATATGAGATAATTTTTTTGCTATTCATTCTAAATATCTCTTTCCCTTTTTCAGAGCCACCTGTGAGAATTCTCTCTCCAGGTGAATCGGAGGTGGAACTCACCCACGTTGCGCCAGAGAGGCTTGAGTTGTGTTGTGAAATCTCTCAGGCAAATGCTCTGGTTCGGTGGTACAAAGACAGTTTGGAGGTAGAAGAGAGCCCAAATTTGATATTGGAGGTAGATGGGGCTCAAAGGCGACTAGTTATACCTTTAACAACTGTGGATGACACAGGGGAGTATATATGTGACACTGAAAATGACTCAGTGGCATTTCTTGTTAATGTCACAGGTATGTATTTTGATACTTAACCAAAATAGTTTCTACCACCAAAGTGATTACTTTCAAATTTCTTTAATTTTTATTTTCACTTAGAGCCCCCTGTGACACTCAGTCGACTCAAAAACACGCCGGACAGACTTGAAGGTTTTGCTGGCAAACCAATTGTTCTAGAGATAGAGGTGTCACGTCCTACAGCAGAGGTCAAGTGGCTGCTTGATGGCAAAAAAATAGAGCAGAGTAGTGATATCACTATTGTAGAGGATGGGCTATTTCGCCGTTTGATCATCAATTCTCCCACTCCAGAAGATTCTGGGAAATACACCTGTGACGCTGTAGATGATCAAATTGATTTCCAGGTGAAAGTTTCAGGTGAGAAGAAAAACCTGACTGTTTTCTAGCTGGTGAATAATGTTTAAATGACTGCATGGTTATTCTATCCTCACAGAGCCACCCGTGAAGATCTTGAGAAAGTCTGAGATTAAGACAGATCTAAAGTTCCTAGTTTCAGATGACATTGAACTAGAGTGTGAGCTCTCTCGAGCCAACGGCAATGCCAAATGGTACAAAGATGGCTGTCGAGTTCAGGATGATGAAAGGTTCTGCAAAGAGGAAGAAGGTGCATTCCGGTCATTGGTAATCCTTAACGCGGAACTCAAGGATTCAGGAGAATACTTCCTAGATGTTGGGGATGACAATATCAGCTTCCAGGTCACAGTTGAAGGTAAAACTGAAATAGGCATTACCTTATTATAAATTATTTGTTTTCAAAAAGTCTCAAATCCGAAAATGTTTTTTTTTTACTCTTAGAGCCTCCAGTGAAGATTGTAGGAAACTCCTATGACCCTGATTACCAAGAACTAATGGCAGGTGATGACCTGATACTGGCCTGTGAGGTGTCCCGTGCTAATGCCCCTGTCCAGTGGTATTGTAATGACAGGCCTCTCACCAGCGATTCCCGTACCTTCATTGAAAGCTACGGAACTCTGAGAAAACTTATTATCTCAAACATCGAGACCTCAGATTCTGGAAAGTATGTCTGTGATGCAGTGACTGACAAGATGATAAACGTTATCCGAATACAAGGTAAAAACTAAAAGGCTTGGTGAACAGTACTGTTGAGAGTGGCAAGAATCTTTAAAATGATACAATTTGTTTATGTCCCAACAAAGAACCTCCAGTTACTTTTGTAAACAAAGAAGATGACGTTGTGTTGACGGGTTATGAGGCCGAAAGTGTGACTTTGACAAGCTATGTGTCTAAAGAAAGTGCGGTTGTGCGCTGGCTCAAAGACTGGACACCAGTTGAAGGTGAACGCTTTCGAGAAATTATGGAGGGCCATAAACGTAGTCTCATCATTCAGCCTTTGAGGCGTTCCGATGCTGGTGAATACACCTGTGATGTCAACACTGACCAAATGCACTTCAGTCTATTAGTGAAAGGTAGCAATCAGTAATTCCAAAAGAATTTTATGGCAATCTCAGTTTGATCTAAAAGCCAATAAAGAATAATATTTTTTTAATTCCAGAAATGAGAATAAAATTTGTGCGACCCCTCGAAGACACTGTGGCTCATGCTGATGGTATGGTAACCCTACGCTGTGAGGTTTGCAAACCAAAAGCAGATGTTCAATGGCTCAAGAATGGTGTGGAGGTGGTTGGAAGCAGGAGATTCTCCATTCGAGCAGATGGTGTTGAGCGAAGCTTGACCATCCACCGTTTAACCCAAGAGGATGCAGGACAGTATGCTTGTGAATCCAGGGATGATCGGACCGTTGCAATGCTAAGAGTGGAGAGTAAGCATCTGAAAGAAAGCTTCATTCTTTTCCAAATGGGCTAGCCCTTCATTCACTGCTTTTGTTTTTTCCAGTGCCTCGAGTTGTGGAGTTTCTCACCGAACTTCACAACACAACTGTGCTAGAGGGAGAAGATGCCACCTTTAAATGTGTTGTGTCTCCTGAGGATGTTCACTTGATATGGCTCATGGACAATGAGCCGATAACTTTAGGGGAGCGCTTCCAAGTGAGTCGAAATGGCCTGTGTCACACCTTGGTTATTAAGAAGTGCCAAATGATAGACTGCTCCAAGATTGCAGCAGAAGCTGAAGGAAAAATCAGCAAGGCCAGTCTCAAAGTTCAGGGTAAGACCAACCCCCAGATTTCGCATCCTCCATGTTTGCTCCACTATTGAAATCTTACGTCAACTCTGTTGTCTTAAATAATGAGAACAGTTGGAGATTCTCCAAAATCCTACCATCCACTGACCTGTTCTCCATCCTTCACAGTCAAAATATGGACCAACTCCAATTTTCTGTTCTGCTTTGACGTGCCTGGTTCTGCCCAGACCTCTTGTGCATGCTCTCTTCGGGCTTCGGATGTAGTAGGCGTAGCATTTCACAGACTCACAGAGACATTCTGCAATGGAGCTGACATGTATAGGAGCGGAGGATGTGAAATCTGAATGTAGAAAGAACACTTATGCAGGATTCTGATAAAAGTTCAAATGGGTTTGAGTTATGGTTCTCCTCATAATGTTTTAGAAGCTCAGGTCATGTTCACCAGGAAAATGGAAGCTGTTACAGCAGAGGAGTTTGGGGAGGCTACCCTGGAGACAGAAATCAGCCTGGAGACAGGTGAGGTCCAGTGGATGAGGCAAGGGGTGGTCATCCAGTCTGGTCCTCGGCATACCCTGGGACAAAACGGCTTTAGAAGAAGCCTCACGATACACAACCTGACCCTATCGGACCGAGGAACTTACCGCTGTGAGACCCTACATGACAGGACACAGGTCAAACTCAATGTAGAACGTAAGTGGTTACTTTGTGTAAAAACCAAACTCCCATTCCATATACTAACCTACCCTATATTTGTTTGAAAAGCTTACATGATTATAGTTATAAACTGAAGCATGATCTTAAATTAAAATTATAATCCAAGTGAAATCTATAACTATTAGACATGCAGCTGTTACGTATGTTTAACTGTCACTGATAGAAAGATGAAGCCAAAGATAAAAGGAGAAAGGTTTTCTCTTCATGATTATCCACTTTGAATTGATATTGACTGCAGCTCTTAGCGTCTTATCACACATAACTGTAGCTGCTTTTACAGATTGTCACAGAGCAAAAGATACTAAGAATAGCTCAGCTAGACTTGAAGTGTGAAAATTGAGCTGAATATTGTGACACTGTGACAACAGGCTGTCTTTGACAAGCTAAGTGCTTCTGTTATGGTTGTCATAACATCAATTCAAAGCCCTAGTTATCATATTTATACCCAAACAATTGGAGACATCATTCCAACCTCCTCTTCCCTTCTTGAATGCAGCACGAAAGATCTCCATACGCAAAGGCCTAACAGATCAAGAGACCTTTGAACGGGAAACTGCCTCCTTTGAGGTGGAGGTCTCCCACGCAGATGTGGAAGGAATCTGGCAGAAAGATGGCATCCGTGTAAAACCAAGCAACCAGTTTAGGGTGAGCATCAATGGGCTCATCCATAGCCTTACCCTGACAAACTTAACTCTGGAGGACACGGGCACCATTGTATTTACAGCAGAAGGGGTGCGCTCAACTGCAAGGCTCACAGTCAAAGGTAAATACAAGCCAGAACTTTGACTTTACTTGCTCAAAATTGCTAAAAGTATGTATTAGAGTTATTTAAGTCCAATGCTGATGGGTTAAACATACTGACAACCGACAGAGACACCTGTGGCTGTCCTGAAACCCCTGGTGGATGTCCGTGTGGAGGAAGAATTCCCAGTCACTTTAGAGTGTGAATTCTCCAGACAAAACGTTGAAGTCAGTTGGCTTAAGGTAAAGAAAATAAAATAATGATCTAGCATCATTAACTCTTATGGTTTAAGCCAGTGGTTCCCAAAGTGGGGGCCACATATTAAGTCTAGATTCTACCAAAAGGGCAGATGCATAATGAATATCCATACAAGCAGAATTTATTTAAAACACACCTGTTAACTACTCCCCACAAGCATTTTAAACAGTTTATGCATGCAGATTCAATACCATGAGGTCCCAACATATCACACGCATGAATGCATCCTCCTTCTCTACACTTTAAGCTTAATTGTCCTATATAAAAGTATTTTTTCCAGCAATAAGGCAGCTTTATGCTAGTTTACATTAAAATCATTCCTCTGAAATTTGGTTTTAGCCCAGCCTTTCTGCTGAATAGCTGCGAGGCACCACACATCTTAAGGAGAACTTTCTGTGTTTACAACATTGCTAATTTCAAAAGGCCTGACTCTAAAATTACGTATTGCTGCTTTGACCACCTTTTAACTCTTTTGGTGAACAGCGATTAGCCTGAATGTGCTTTGGTAAAGTTACTAGGTGTACATAGGAAAAAAAAAAAGAGATTAGGATTTTTCTTTCTCAGGTTGGTTCCACTCTCTTAGTGACACAATTATACACAAGTGCAAAGAAACATGTCCACACATGAGTGAGAGCGAATCTATAGGCCATAAAAGGCAAGAGAAAGAACATATTCATGCTTGCTTTATTGGTGGCATCATGGTATTGAATCGGCACATATAAAAAGTTCAACATGCGCATGGACAGTAGTTTACATAGCTGCTGGTAGGATTATTTTATTTTTCGTTTGTGGTTTTGGAAGAATTCAGACTTCATAGCAACTTGGAAACCAAAGGAAGACCAGCAGCTTAAGTTTGGAAAGCAATGGTTTAAAGGTAGATAAAGGAAAACATGTTGGTTTCTTTTATTCCTCTGTAACTTAGAATGGTACTGAGCTGAAGCCAGGGAAGAACCTCAGGATTTACTCAATGGGACGAAAGCGGTTCTGCCAGATACTTCAGTGTTCCATTGCTGACTCTGGTTCCTACACATGTGACACAGGCGATATAAGCACCGTGTGCTCACTAGAGGTTTACGGTAACTGTCCAACCACACTTTCATACCCTATGTAATCATTTCAATCTTTTTCTTGGACATATTCTTCAATTAAGCGTCTTGATTTTCAGCATTAAATGTCTCCATCTAGTGGTCATTATTTTCATTTCATCACAACCTTTAGAGCATGAGCTGGAGATACTACAGGATCTTGAGGACCTCTACATCCAGGAAGACCAGAATGCTGTGTTCATGTGTGAGGTCTCTCTGGAGGACGTGACCGGGGAGTGGTTCAGAGATGGTCACAAGATCAGACCCAGCAGCACCATAAAGATCCGCAACGAAGGTCAGAAATGGACCAAGTTATATTTTGACAAATTTATTTTTTTTTATCCTTAAAATCTCACCAGCTGATTTAAAAAAAAAAAAATGTATCAACTTCCAGGGACCAAACACTTCCTGCTGATGTGTAACGTTAAAGTTGAAGATGCAGGAGAAATCCGTTTTGTCGCAAGAGATGTGGAATCAACAGCTTACCTTGAGGTAGAAGGTGAGGTTTTTTTTGTTTGTTTTTTATTCTTCCTATGTGTTACTAACTTTATTTACTTTACTATACTTTACTATGCAAGGAATCTTTTTTCATTGATTTTACTGAGAAAACAGTGTTTGTAAATGGAAAATTTTAATTCAAAAGCAATCCAGAACTGAAATGCTGAAAACATATCAATCTAAACTTAGTCTAACTTTCTCAGATTATATTTTACGTTTTTTTTTAATTCTTTTTACATTTTACTTTTTTCAAATGCCTTTTTTTTTTTTTACAGAGTATATATTTTCTAATTTTATTTAATACATATACATTATGAAGTACTCTTCTAGTTGCAAAATTAGCCTAATTTATTAATAAATTGACAGAATTATCTGTGAGAAACTTTATTAAACATTTATTTTATATGTGTTTTATTATGTATATTCCATATATAAGTTGCGTAAAGGATAAAAATAACATAAAATAATAAACATATTTTTCTTTAAATGAAGTCTGAACAAAGTTACACTCAAAACACACCTGAATTGCATTCTTTTCAAATTTCCATTTACAAAATGCGTTCTTAACAAGAATAATGGAACTAAATTAACTCCATATTTCCATCCCTTCAAACCTTCCTAATTTTTAAAAACCTTCTAATTTCCAGAACTCCCAGTTTCTATAGTGAAACCACTACGAGACAGAACGGCCCTGGAGAAACATCGCGTTATCCTGGAATGCACCGTCTCCTCCCCGCGCTGCGATGCAACCTGGTACAAAGGCAAACAGGAACTGGAACCTTCAGAACGGATGGAGATCATAGCAGAAGGCTGTTCCCATAAGCTGGTGATCAACCAGGTTGTTGTAGAGGATGAGGGCACTTACAGTATTCAGGTTGGGGAGCATACATCCAAAGCCAAACTTCTGGTTGAAGGTAAGCTGAATGGAAAAGTAAAGTAAAGTAGAAGTAAAACCTCATGCCAACCAATCCTTTCTGTCTTTCTAAAACCCTGATGATGCTTCACGGCGCCGCAGCCCAGGCCCTGGTGATGCTGAAAGAACTTGAGGACGTGGAGGTGATGGAGCCAGAGGCGGCCACTTTCCAGTGCGAAGTCTCCGTCGCCATCAACAAGCCTCCTGTTTGGACTTTAAACGGAGAGACCCTGCAGTCGGGCCCTTCAGTCCGTCTGGAAGACCAGGGGACGGTCCACAAGCTCACTCTGAGGGACACTTGTGTGGACATGAGTGGGACAGTCAGGTTCACCCTGGGCAAGGCCAAGAGCAGCGCCACGTTTACAGTTATGGGAAAGTAGAATCAGGAAAGAGGCAGAAAGCTCTAAAATCTATACTCCTTTATTTATTCCCTCCATGTTTTGGTCTGAAGATGTTAGGCTAGACGGAACGGACAGTTTAGTTGGTGGAGATATAATTTGACTGTGTAGATATGATTACATTTTTATGATCAGTATTTTCACACATTTACAATGAATTATTGCATTTAGATAAAAATGTAATAAATAAAACTAATTGGATGGTGAAACTCAACATAACATGGCTTTCATTTTGTACCAGCTGCTGTGAACGACCCAGAGATGGATTTAAGAAATCTGGGGCCCAAGGTGGAGGCAGGCATGGGCGACGAATTAACAAAAACATCTCTTTCTTGTTGTTTTTGTATTTCTCTCCCATTTGCCCTTGCATTTATTTCTCTTCATATCCATTTTCTTGTCTTCATTTTTTATTTGCCTTTTGTCCCTGAAACTTTATTTGGCAAGTCTTGAGAAGAACCATATCCACATATCCTGTTAACCGGTTACCTCTTTTCGTTGTGCAGCATTTTCTGCCACACTTTTTCTTTCCCACTGAGGTGCCTTGATGCAGCACTCTGGAAACAGCCTATTGGTTCAGAAATATCTTTCTGTGTCATACCCTCTTGCTTTAGGGTGTCAATGATGGCCTTCTGGACAGCAGTCAGGTCGGCAGTCTTACCCAGGATTGGGGTTTTGAATGATGAACCAGGGTGGGAATTATATAGGCCTCAGGAATGTTTTGCAGGTGTTTAGAGTTAATTTTTTTTGATTCAGATGATTAGGTGCATAGCTTTTTAGAACCTTTTTCACAATATTCTACTTTTGTGAGATAGGAATTTTGGGTTTTCATGAACTGTATGCCAAAATAATCCGTAATAGACAATAAAAGACCTGAAATATTTCAGTTAGTGTGTAATGGATCTAAAATACACTGCTCAAAAATATTAAAGGAACACTTTGAAAACGGAACAGATCTCAATGGGGGAAAAAAACATGCTGTTTATTTATACTGATATGGACTGGGTGATGTGTTAGGAAGAAAAAAGGATGCCACATCATTTGTGTGGCACCCAGGGAGCAGGGTGGGGTTAAGGTTCCTGCTCAGGAACCCAAAGTGCAGGCTGTGGGGATCGAACCCGGTACTTGCAACCTTTTCAGAGCACAAGCTCACTGCTCTAACCATTAGGCCAACACTCCCAAAATGACTGTTTAACAGACAGGCATACCAGGACTCTTAAAGATTTATAAAAGAGGCTCAACAATCAGTATTGCATGGGGAAAATGAAAATGTTTTTCTTTTGTTGTTTTGTCCTAACTTATTATAATGCCTACTGGTGGGCAAATAGGCCAAAAAACATTGGAAAGGGAGAAAATGCCCCTAAAAAGTAAATTTGGAAATTTAAATCAATTAAGAATTGAAAAAAAAAAAAGAATAAAACGACAAGTAAAAAAAATGTACTCAACCAATAATTATCACCTGATGTTAAATCTAACTAAAATTTATTCAGATAGTCCAACTTGTCAGGCTGGAAAAAGCAAAAGGTTTAGTTTAAGAAAGCAAAATTAAGTGACAAAATTATAGTAATTTAACACTTATCTCTTTTTTCACCTACCGCAACAATGCATTTATTCAGCATTTTGTTCACAACACAGATCTGTAATGTTTGTGTTCTGCAGCATCCAGACAATAAAAAGCCCAACAACTGTACATTTATGTGTAACTTTCTGTTTATATTTGCATTAAAAGACCAAAAGGAGCCCAAAAATCTGACTGACAGTATCTACAGTTTGTCATAATTTCATTTTCTTAATGTTTGTCTTACCTACTGGGTTAGATAACTGTCAATAAAACCGTATTCAGAGATGAAAGTCAGCAATATAAATAGATCGATTTGTGTTTGATCCACAACTTAAAAGATACATGTGACATCATATCATCTGTGAAAATTAAAGTTTGAAGGTTATAAATAAGAATTAGAGTTACAACTTTGCAGCGATACAAGTAAAAATAACACATTTTTGAGTATAAATCCCAAATTTATACGTGTGAGTGAAGATTTTTTTGTATAGGAATCAGAAATTCATGAGAAATTATCAAAAACGTTTGAGAATGAATAAAATTTACAAGCACAANCTTTTGTCCCTGAAACTTTATTTTGCAAGTCTTGAGAAGAACCATATCCACATAACCTGTTAACTGGCTTCACAAAAACTCCCCAAAATAGCTTAAGAAACCGAAATTAAAAGGTTTTAACCGTTTGGAAGGTCCAACCTGCCATAAAACTTTTAAAAAAGGGGGAAAAAGGCCTTGTTGTGGCAGATTTGGAGGCCCCACATACTCTCCATGGACAGGATGTGGCCGGTAACTGATTTAAAAACCCCACATTTATAGTTTTCCTGGTAATTTAACATGGAACCAACAAAAGTATCAAAACAGGCGTTAATGTCCTCTTTTGCTGCAAACAAGAAGCTTTCTGCTTCCTTCTTTTCTCTTTTTTAGCACTGCTGCTGCAGCTTATTTTAATCTTTAAATGATAAATGGGCTGCCGATGAACACCCTTAACCAATGATTGGCCACCCCTACCAGCGGATCCAATGTGAACATAATTCCCAAGTACCGGTAGTTTCTGTCTAAAACAGGTTGGCAGCAATGATGCTCTCTAATGGAAAGTTATAACTAATTTTACATTTTAGTTATTTTTATTTTAACAATAAACTGACCACAAAATACTAGCATATTGTGATAAAGTTCATTATTTTCCATAATGTAATGATAAAATTTGAACATTCATATATTCTAGATTCATTGCACACTAACTGAAATATTTCAGGTCTTTTATTGTCTTAATACGGATGATTTTGGCATAAAGCTAATGAAAACCCAAAATTCCTATCTCATAAAATTTGCATATTTCATCCGACCAATAAAAGAAAAGTGTTCTTAATACAAAAAAAGTCAACCTTCAAATAATTATGTACAGTTATTCACTCAATACTTGGTCAGGAATCCTTTTGCAGAATTAACTGCTTCAATGCGGCATGGAGGCAATCAGCCTGTGGCACTCCTGAGGTGTTATGGAGGCCTGGGATGCTTCAATAGCGGCCTTTAGCTGACATTCACAGTGTTGGGTCTTGTGTCTCTCAACTTTCTCTACACAATATCCCACAGATTCTCTCTGGGGTTCAGGTCAGGAGAGTTGGCAGGCCAATTGAGCTCAGTGATACCATGGTCAGTAAACCATTCATCAGTGGTTTTGGCACTGTGAGCAGGTGCCAGGTCGTGCTGAAAAATGAAATCTTCAACTCCATAAAGATTTTCAGCAAATGGAAGCATGAAGTGCTCCAAAATCTCCTGATAGCTGCATTGACCCTGCCCTTGATAAAACACAGTGGACCAACACCAGCAGCTGACATGGCACCCCATGCCATCACTGACTGTGGGTACTTGACACTGGACTTCTGGCTTTTTGGCATTTCCTTCTCCCCAGTCTTCCTCCAGACTCTGGTACCTTGATTTCCAAATGACATGGAAAACCGAGCAACAGTCCAGTGCTGCTTCTCTGTAGCCCAGGTCAGGCGCCTCTGTCACAGTTTCTGGTTCAAAAGTGGCTTGACCTGGGGAATGCGGCACCTGTAGCCCATTTCCTGCACACGCCTGTAGACGGTGGCTCTGGACGGTTCTACTCCAGACTCAGTCCACTGCTTCCGCAGGTCCCCCAAGGTCTGGAATCGGCCCTTCTCCACAATCTTCCTCAGGGTCCGGTCACCTCCTCTGGTTGTGCAGCGTTTTCTGACACACTTTTTCTTTCCCACTGAGGTGCCTTGATGCAGCACTCTGGAAACAGCCTATTGGTTCAGAAATATCTTTCTGTGTCATACCCTCTTGCTTTAGGGTGTCAATGATGGCCTTCTGGACAGCGTTCACGCCGGCAGTCCCACCCCAGGATTGGGGTTTTGAATGATGAACCAGGGTGGGAATTATATAGGCCTCAGGAATGTTCTGCAGGTTTTTAGAGTAAATTTTTTTGA